TGTATTTCTGTTAGCTTGGGACGTCAAAGCGCATCCAATTATGTGAATATTTTCAACACGCCGCCCGTGCTACCCGGTAGTACGCCTCTCTCTCCATCGGATTTTTCTGCGATTTTTTTAATTCAGCCTACCGCTATTATCTATTCCAGTCCTAAAGGGCCATCTGTTTCTCGTTCATCTATAGCATAGTTTCGAATATTGGTGAGGATGCAGCCTAGCAGGCTCAACGAAAACGTTAACGGCGGCGTGGAATTTATTCGGATGGCAGAAATCCGCTGGATGCTCCGCAGTTATCACCGTCCCATCGAACGCAGTATTTACCAGTGAATCCTCTTTAACGCGAAGATTGGAATTGCATACTTGGGAGGCACATTCGCAGCTGTCTTAGCTTCACCCATAATTTTAATATTTCGTATAGCGCTGAAAGACCCCTTCAGAGCGTACTGGGCGTAATAAGTATAACAGTACCATTGCTATTTCTATTGCGCCCTTCCCAAATACGTCTTTAATCTTAGAATGGTCTTAATATAAAATTAAATCGCAGCGTGTCCAGTTGTGCTGCGTGGTCGATCACCATACAGCCCATCGCATTTTCCTCAAAATACACAATACAGGATCTGGCTGCATTCATTTTCAGTCATATTACTGAATGTCTCCAAAGCCGGTCTGTGCCATACTGTATATTCTTACACCGGAGTGTTGTAAATTTACTGCACAAGGAATCCGACAGCTAAATTCACGTAAGCGAAAGTATCATTCGTCTGGAGGCTCTCGAAAATATGTACAATAATCGCGTCTTTCAGTCCTAGGCGTATGTGGCGTGTGTCAGGAAATTTGTTGTCGATTGGAATAAAATGATCGGGCAAAATTAGAATAGTAATTACCATGCACTATAATACCAGGAAAATTCAGTTACCTCAGGCTACCGACTCTTGAGTGAACTTCTTTCCAGCTGCACACAGAAACTGCGTCCGGTCAAAAAGTGATCATTTGAGTAGCATGAGTGTGGCTTTTGGTGCCGTCCTCTTCAAAAGTAATACTTTAAGAAATCGTTGTTCCTCTACATAAACCAGTTTGTAAATAGTTTCAACGTGAAACATCCGAACAGAATCCTGTCCTTCTGCTATTTAATGCTGCCAACGAAGTACACAACATTTTTCACGACCATTTTAAAATATGCACACTCTGAACGGCACATCTAAATAGAATAGTGCAATGTAGGAGTTGTCTTACATAAAAATAAAACAGGTTGTAATGTGGAAACCCTGGGCGAAAGTGCAACGACAAATCTGGTTCATAATCAATACTGAACTGCGAAACGTCTTTGAAAATCGAAGATACCCTATTTTCGAGTATCAACTGTGAAGAAGACGTAACGTACTGCGAGAGAAATGCAGCAAAAATATTTTTGTATCATTTTCATTGCATGTTTCCGAGTTTTTAAAGCATCGTTAATCAGCCATTTTTTGCCCAACGTGATTTCCGACTCCGGCCGTTAAGATTTTTGGCTAAAAGCCATCATCCGACAATGATTGAAACATCCTGCGATTGTTCTACAGTAAAAGTGTTGTGGGTAAGTTGCGCCAGTTTATACGTTTGTCATGCATACCAAGACTACGGTAGATGGTCTATGAAGGGGGAGGGCAGACAGGAACAATATAGGTCGAATTACTATAAAACGGTAGTATTTCCGTGGGAAAATGGGTCGTGTAAATTAATTTACACGATATCAATTGCTATCTGTGCTGCTACCGTCGTTTTTCGAGTATACCGAAAATTCGATGTCTACTCGATATACATCCGCCGGACAAAAACTCTATTCACTCGATATACGCATATCGAAGATACGCTATCTACCCGATATCCAGACGATCGTCTCGATATGTCGACGTACGCTTGCTACTAGGGAAGCAGTTTTCCAGATTTTTGCCGTGGCAATTCCACGCTTCAAGCAGTTCATTTAACCGCTAGAATAAACTGTCCTAAGACAAAAATGCATAAGAATACCCCTAAGAAACTGTCATCGTAATCATAACGTTCCGCAGTGACGGTTTATGCCATCAAACCCTAGTAGTAATAGATATGGAGTAGATATACGTGAATAGCGATTTATCGAGATATGTATGTCTGTCACGTAATTGGCTACCTCCTTTGTGCAATCAGCCATTTCATTGGCTGCAGTTCTTTAGTCGCATTTCGATTTCGCGCACGCGCGGGCGCGCCTTTATTTCGCGTGAGCGGCGTGGAACGTGTGACGTGACACTGCTTGCACTAACCTGACATTATTGATTTATACCTGTTGTTTGCTGATTCTATCTTTACCATGTTTAAGCAGGAATCCCGGAGAACACGATTACGTCGTATTAAGAGGTATGGAGACGAGGAGTTCCGGGAAATCGTGGAGGCTGTTAAACTTAGACGCAAATCGCAAAGTCGCCCTATAAGCACGTTATGTGACGGATCAGAACTCTTAGCGCCTATGCAGGAGGACAGGACCACTTTGTCGGCCGAAAGTGCTGTTCTAAGGACTAATGCAGGAGCGTCTGTGGACGCAGAAAATCGTCAGATCGTAGCCGCTGACTCGGGCAACTTATACGTCAAACAATTGCGTGAATGGACGCTGAACTTCACGATTGCGTACGCTCCCATAAGAGCCCTGTTGGCTATTTCTAAGCCGATTGTTGCCCAACCACCGGCAGACCCAAGAACACTCTTGGTAGCGGCCTGTGATCTAAAGGTTTCCCCAATGGGTAGCGGTATGTGCACGTCGGCTTAGAAAGACAACTACGTAGGCTTACAAGTAAGAATATAGTTAACTCAGAATAACATTACCGACAAAGACAAGGGAGACTGGAATGGCCATTTCTGGCTTATTAGCCGTCGTCAGCCAGCCATACCCAAGCCCGAAGTGTGGAACACCCGAGCCTCGAACTCGCGACCTGTTGGTTTAGAAGTCAACGCCTCTACTCACCGGGCCACGAGCCCGTTGCCTTGTCGGTTTTCCAGTTTTCGGTTGCCTTGTCGGTTTTCCGGTCTCCCTTGTCTTTGTCGGTAATGTTATTCTGCCTATGTATCATGCGCCGCTGTGCGGCTGCTGGTTGGGCTCGAGAGAGAGCTCTTAAGGCACAACGGAACGAGTGAGTTCCGTATGAACGATCGGTGAGCGCCCCCTACCATAGTTAACTCAGCTTGCGATATAGAGATTCAGTTGGCCAACGATGGTCTTCCAGTATCTAGAAAATCAAACAACGAAATTGCCTAATCTTAGGGAGAATGTCGCGGCCCTTTGTCGGTAACGTTTTTCCAGTTGGCATTTGTTGTGGTACTGGAAAACCTTCGGATGTCCGTACATTTTTCTTAACGGACTACTAATTCGAAGACTGTGAATTGCACTTTGTACAGATTTTGCCTACCTCGTCTAAAATTCGCATGTAAATTTATTTTTACTTGCTTTGATGGGACCCCGGCGGGTCTTTCATAAAAAGTATTATTATTATTCTGTAAGTTAGTAGTAAGTGAGTTACCATCATTAAGCGAACAAGGGATCAACAGCAGCGACAGCTTTGGACTGCAGACCCGCGTTCGCGTCAGCTCTGTACTTGGTGACGCACCGGCGAGGGCTTTCGGTAAGCAAATTAAGAATGTGAATGCCTATCATGGGTGCGAACGTTGTACAGTAACGGGTGTTTATATGGGAAAAGTAGTATATCTAGAGAAATGAGAGAGGGATAGGACGGATGAGGACTTCTAGCACTTCGTCGAGGACGAACACAGAGTCGGAGTGTCTCCATTCCTCTCTTGCAACCTAGGCCTTATTTCCCAATTTCCTCTAGATCCGATGCATCTACTTTACTTGGGCGTAATGAAACGCTTGCTAAGTTTGTGGGTTAGAAATAATCGTTCGAAGGACAGTGGTCGCACGACGCCGTCGGTACTGAAGGCAGTGCAGATGAAGGCTATAGACGATAGGCTGCGTTCCTTAAACGCATGCCTTCCATCAGAATTTTCTGAAAAAGCTAGATGTTTAAATGAGTTTGAGTCCTGGAAGGCTACGGAGTTTAGGCAGTTTGTATTGCATCTAGGTCTTGGTGTTCTCCCGGGTATCCTGCCTCTTAATCATTATAAGCTGGATTCACTGCTTTTTACTGCTCTTGGATTGCTGGCCTACCCTAAGACCTGCGACCGAAACGTAGGTTATTGTAAGCAGTTGCTGTTAGTGTTTACTAGAAGGTTTTTGAGTCTACACTGTGACGAGCACATGGTTTACAATGTGCATAGCCCAATGCACACTGCGGATGATGTTGAGCGTCACGGTCTACTGGACTCATTTTCGTCTATCCCTTTTGAAAGCTTTTTAGGCAGATTGAAGAAATTATTTAGAAGCCCATCACGGCCTTTACAACAGATAGCTAGGCGTTTAAGCGAGGAGGAGGTAGTTACACGCGATCCTTCAGGCCCCCTTCACCTAGATTCTTTCATGAGCATAATGCGGGACCAAAACCTGCAGGCTATGAGGACAGTCAGCAATATAAATGTCTAATCACAGATAGATATCGTATTGACATTACCTCTGGCAATAGGTGCATAGAAATTGGTAATGGAATAGTATGTGTTAAAAACATACTATGCGATGCAGGTGGGTGTATACGTTTAGTCTTCCATGAATTTGGCAATATTTCAGACGAGTTTGACTATCGTAAGAATTCCTCACTTATGAAAGTTTATAAAGCCAGCATAGATAAAAAGTGACTCTGCTCACCACTGCCGAATGACTACACTAAGTACATGTACTTTCCAGAAGATAACCACTACGTAGTAACTGAAATTATATAGAGAATTAAGGAAACCACTTACTATCCTTTTGCCAATGCAAACAGTGCTCGTGAACCCTACAAACGCACAGTTATTCTAGTGAGTGGTTTGCGAGCACTGCAGGGAAGAAGTGGCCACTATGTGAGCACTTAATTCACCTTATTTCCTGTGCGTTTGTGGATATTAGCATGAGCCCACTTCCAACACGCCAACTACCGGCCCGACAAAGGAGGTCCGCGATTGATGAGGCGCTCGACCTGCTGGAAGGTGAAGGTATATCATCGCCAGTAAGTTATGGAAAATAACGCTGTTATATCTTTCAGGAGCCGCAGGAGGACGCCAATGATTCTTTCGAGACCATCTTCTTGGGTGACGACATCCCGACAACACTGTCCAAAGTGAATGGTCAGGACGACATCCTGCTGCTAATGTATAAACACATGCGGGCACAGTCAATGAAGCTGGACATTCTGATGGAAACATTCCGCAAACTACTCGGACGTCAGCGGCTGTTGGAATCAATGATTCCACAGCAGGCTAAAACTTCGGGACCGGTAGCTTCGCAGCTGCGACGAACCCGCTTGACCATCAAATACTGTCGGGTGCCGAGTTTCGTAATTTGAATGTCCAATTACTGGACAAGATATTTCGAAACCAGCTGGTATGCAAGCATATTAATCACACCCTATTGCGTTAGACTTCCTTCCTAACATGCCTAGGAGGGTATAATATAGATGAATTCGTCAAGCGAATTTTCTTTGCATTGTTCGAATATGAAATAAGCTTGTATGTTAATTTCAAAGACAGAATGACAAAACAGAGCCTCAGCGGTTCGAAAGTGTATGAGGTTATACTTGGTAAGTCTGCCGTCACTGACAACTCTACAACATGCAAAAGTCTTCGGCGCGTGGAATACTGATGCCAGCGTAAAGCTGTCTGACCTTGAGTAAGCAATTACCAAGCGCCTGAAAAGGTCGCTCGACGGCTGTGTCCAGCGTAAAAACAAGTCACAAATGAACCAAGATGACAGTGATAAATTGATTGCCGTTTATCAAGAACTAATTATAACTTGTAGACAATATCCCTGGATCTTCAACTGATTCCCCGCCTGCGCGAACACTGTGAACACAGAAGGGGTTCAGCGAATCTATGTACATATTTATTCAATTTTTAAATAAACGTGTTCCACGATAACCGTCTCCAAAGTGCATCTGGGTAAACGGTGGGGGAATAAACATGCGAAAAGGAATGGATGAGGGGTAGAAAAGGGGATTGCCCTGCCAACACATGGCCCCGAGGGCCAGACGGGGCTAGACGGGGCCAGGCCCCGTCCAAATTTCCATCCTTTCTAATCACGTCATTCTGCATTATTTTAGACTGTTTTAGCTTTATTATCGTTAAAAATAAGCTTTTTAACTTGTATAATGCGTTTTCAGTCGTATGACATGGAGAGAAATTCATGTTTCACGAAGGCAAATATTGGCCTTGTTTAAGTCGGTCATGTACATACCCACGTGGACGGCACTTTTACCCTGACTGTGTGCACGCGTGATCCATGCAGCTGACCGACTCCTACTTCTTACTTGGCTCGTTTTGACTGCAGTACGTTATCCATTTACTTACTTATTTTTCTTACAAGTTATTACAACACATTGAATTAGGGTTCGCTTGAAAATTCAGCGAGCAACTTTGACCTTTCGCAAAAAATATCGGAAGACACAGTGAGTAACTTAATATTTCCTATGTAGCCGGCTATGCTATGACTTTCAGTATAATTTTTCCTTACCTCTATTTAATAGTAGTATTATTTAGCATTAATTATTCAACCAGTCTGCATAATTTTCTTATGCTCAGCAAATTAAATTTTTAATTTTTGCATTAAGACGTTTGTTTAATTACAGGATACTTCTTTATGATATACTTTCAAATTAATTAATACTGATTTAAATTTATATCATTATTTTCTGGCATTATTTTGACAGAAATACATGATAAAAACATTTACAGGGGACATAAATGACTAATTAACCAAAAAGATGTCTAATTATTCCTTTAGTCCCCTCTTAATGTTTTTATTAAATATTTGTGACATAATAATTTATCCGGCAATTTTTTTCATTCCATAAGTTTATTAACTTAAAGGATACACCACGCATGCCGTTTAGTAAAACAAAATTATTACCAAATTTGCCAGTAATAAGAATTATTTATTTATTAATGTTTCTTTTTTTTATAGGAGCCTGCCGTGGATGAAAACTTCCGTCAACACAACAATGCCGTTCAATTGACTGACCAGAACATAATAGTATCTCATATGCCCCTTGTACATACTACTCCACTTTTTTAATTTTATGTGTTCAATAAACTACCATATGCCAATATTTGCTGTCCATTGACTTTGTTCATGTAGATCTCGGGACATGTTTGATTTATCGGCGCTATCACTATATTTAGAGGGTGGGTAATACTTAACAAGGGTAAGGGTTATGGGTGTTCATCGATCAGAAGTAGAATAGTAGAACCTACTGTGCGGAGAACTAGGAAAGGGATAATACTGATAACGTAAATGAGGGGTTAATATCACGGAGAGCGTGGCGTCCCCCTGCGCGCTTTTTTCAAGGACGGGGCCAGACGGGGCTATGGCGTCCCTAGCCCCGTCGTAGCCCCGTCATAGCCCCGCCCAAACGGGGCCCAGCCACGTCTGGCCCCGGGGGCTAGGCGGGGCCAGACGGGGCTGGTGCTAGCAGGGTGGGTTAAGCAAACGTGGAATATTCCACGTGTAGCATATTACCCCCCTTTTCGCCGACGACGTAGTATCTCGATTAATCGATATCTAATAGATATCTCTTTTTGCGACAAAATAGATATCCCGCCGATATATGAATCTCGATAAATAGATGTCTTATACATATATATATATATATATCTACTCGATATAGTGTGCTACTAGGGAATATTATAATAAAAATTTCTCAATTTGCATTTTATGGCACTTCTGTTTCAGTCGAAAACCCATTTAATACAAACTAGTGTGATATGACATGATGCTGCAAATTGCCGTCCAGTCGAGCAAATTAGAGCCTAACCTAATTGTCTGTAGGGATACTTCCGCAAAAGGGCATGGCAAAACTGCTCCCCGACCGGGAGTCGAACCCGGGCCGCCTGGGTGAAAGCCAGGAATCCTAACCGCTAGACCATCGGGGAGGCGGCTGCGTCGAGTCAGTTGTCTTATCAAAATGCCATGCCGACATTCACTCCTAGTCGAGTACTTCAAAAATTAAAGGTCATTAAAAGTGCTATTTTGTTCTTTTTGCATACTCCTACTTCCACTGAAACCTAACTATAGTTTCGAGGACGGTCCCAGATTATTCGGCAAACCGCCTTTTCTGCTGACCTGGGACATGCTGCATCTATTCAGATTGATTTTGCCGGGGAAAGCCACGTACGGGATTCATCTTCAGCTTTACACTGTAATTTCGAAACTGGAAAAGAACGAGCTCTGGTAACTTTATAATTCCTCCAACTGACATAAGCGCCATTGTATCCACAACCAAGCGTCTTGAAAATAGCGTGTGATAGCTACCATAAAGGCAGACACGGAGGTCTTTCTCATTCGGAGTAATTTAGACGTTGTTATTTAGGTAAAGTGTCATACTTTTGATACAATCCACCTCTTGCCTTATGTTGAATATGGCTAATCGACCTCGTTCGTGGAGGAAAACTGTTTAAGATAGTAAGGTTGGCGTTGGCTTAAGCGGAGATTCGAAATAAACTTAGTTAGCAATCACGTAGAACTTCCGGCAATGAGTTCCCCTGGTACTCAGAAGGGAATGAAGATTTTGCTGATTTTAATGCCTAAGAAAAAGAAGAATATTCTCAGTTATAACCTGATTTTATGAAGTTCGAATACTACCCGATTCATCCACAGTTTATTTTGAAAGGAGTTACTGTTGACGGAGATCAAGTGCCGCAGTTTCTGCGCCGTCGAAGACAGTTTATTCTCAGCTCGGAAATGGCTGTGAATAAATTATCGAATAAGTTTGTAACCTATCTATTAATTGCTATCAATCGTTCTATATTTGGTATAGATAGTGGAGACGTGGAATCTCAGTGTTATTTGCGACCAAGCCGTCAACAGGGGATTGAAAGCGCTAGTCCCACGAAGTTTTACTTGACATTATTTGATACTTAAATGAGTAGCCAAGAGATTTGACGTCTTGTTTCACCCGCGCTTTTGAGTTGCATTTATGGGACAAACCAAGGGAGACTAATGCTTTTGCCCATGTTCACACGTATTGGTGCTTTACGGCCGCGACGCCGACTCACATCAAAGACCGTCGATGGATAAAAAATCGCAGAAGCGTATAATGACCGCCTAAGGTTGTCCACTTGGGTACTTGGCAGGGACGATCAAGGACTTATGTGACGGGGTTGAATTAAGTGGCGATGTCGGCGTGCAGGCCAGCGAGGTTGTTAGAGACAAGCATGCGTTAGGACACAATAGCTCAAGAACTTTTACCAGAAACATTAGATGTATTTCGCAACATAAACGACTGTTTCGGTAGGGTTGTAATAACGAGTATATTGCAGCGCAATCGCAGAATGTTTCAATCATGGTCGGATGACGGCTTTTTGCCAAAAATCTTAACGGTTGCATTCGGAAATCACGCTCGGTAAAAATAGTTGATTTAATGCTATAGGATTCTTCTACTGATTAATGATGCTTTAAAAACTCGGAAACATGCAATGAAAAAGATATAAAAATATTTTTATTGCATTTTTCACGCAGTAAGTTATGTCTTCTTCACACGTCATACGTGAAAGTTGGGTATCGTTGATTTCAGGTATGGTGGCCCTGGACGAAACAAGATTGCACCCTGTTGGAGAACATACAACGAAGAGCAACTAAGCTGGTCGGCGAATTAAGTTGCTTACCTTATGAGGGACGCCTGAAAAAGCTTAAAATATTTCCTCTCTCTTATAGGCAATACAGAGGGGATATGATCATAGCCTTCAGGATCGTCCGAGAGCTAGACTGTGCTCTTCAGTTTGACGATTTCTTCAAACTGGCGCGATCGACCAGTCTTCGAGGCCACCAATACAAATTGAAAATAACATATGCCAATCTTGAATTGCGGGCCAAATTATTCTCTCACCGGCTGGCTGAAGGGTGGAATGATTTGCCAAACTCCGTTGTCTTGACCACAAACGTTGAGACCTTCAAAAAGGCCAGATAAATTTATACCTTATGGTCGATATCAAAGACTGTCATAATGGTTATGTGAATATGTGCATGCTTTTTATACGTCTATCTGTAAATAGGGTTTTCCAATGCTCTGTCCATATCCCTCATATGTACATATATAGCATTCCTCTTTCTGGGTCCTGCTTAGATGTTTTCCCATACAATATTGCATCTGTATTTAGTGGCAATTCCCCACAAATTTTAGAACACAGCAACTTTGTCTTGCACAAATTGTTTAATCCAACAGCTTAGTTTTCCATCACCAACTCTTCCTTTTTATAAGTAGCAATAAGCTGAAACTACATATTAAGAATACGCTCAGTATTATCTCTCTCAAAGCAAGATCAGTCATGCAAAAGACGTCACAAGTAAGAAAAG